ATCAGACCCACAACTCATCTGAAACAGGTTGTAAAGAACTTCAGAAAGGGAAGAGCAAAAAGAATGATCATATCTATATTGTAAAACAGATTATTCTAATAAGCATAAATGTATAAAAACTATGAAAGATTTATTTTGCGATCATCAGTGAAAGACAGTAGCCAACAATGGTCATTGATACTCATATGCTTTATGATAGAGATGCAGCTGTGTTAGTCTGGTCTAGCTGAAACAAAAGACAGGACTATGCAGCTCTTTAAAGACTAACAAGATGGTTTATTAGGTGATGAGCTTTCGTGGGCCAGACCCACTTCCTCAGATCAATATTGATCTGAGGAAGTGGGTCTGGCCCACGAAAGCTCATCACCTAATAAACCATCTTGTTAGTCTTTAAAGAGCTGCACAGTAATGTCTTTTATATGCTTTATGAGAAAGCCATCATTGCCTGGCTATATTATTAATTATTTGTAAGACATCTATATCTTCATATCCAACTTAACCGCACCTTTAGGGAAAAAAATCCTGGCCCAGCCAAAAAATGCTGACTCACGAGAAATTCAGAGAGTGTCATGGATTATTGCTTCAGCGACATAACAACAACATAAAACTAAGAGCAGGATGTTGGAAAATGTTTGAGTTCTCATGCACCAGACAGTGGAAGACATGCAATCGAGATTCCCAGACTTGATAGACAGAGGATAGCAAAGATTATAAATCGCTTTCATAAGGCTGCTTTGTTTGTTGAAAGTGCCTTTTATCCAAGGATGTCAAAGCACAACATTTTAATGTAAAGGTGCTAATATATCTCCAAAATGACACTGGAACCAGATCACAGGATAGGGAGTACTATAGAACTGAAAGATTCATACTGGAAGAAATAAGGGTACACTCCCAAGGAAACTTAGTGCAGCAAACTAAACAGATGTGTTGGAAATAATTCGTTATCTTGCAATTAAGAACCAATTTTCACTGAAAACACACAGGACATTGGGTTAATAGATTTCTTTAAAAGAAAATCTGTTTTGGCTATTGAAACATTAAAAGAAAAGAACAGCTGTTTTGTCAGTGAAGACAGATTGCATGGAAGAATCAACTATCAAAACACAGATTAAACTAGCATTTATTTCTATTCTATTTACATTTTCAATAAAAGTAAATGAAATTACATTCAGAAAAATATTGTGTATAATGAAATATTTCATGTGAAGCAGTAATTCCAACATCCTTTAAAAATGATCATATCCTACACATAGGAAGTACATATTTTTAAAATGTCTTTCTTTTGTTGTCCTTATATACACTCATGCCTCTGTAAATTCCACTCCAATTTATCTGATGAAGTAGGTTTTACCCACAAAAGCTTATTCCCTAATAAATTTGCTAGCCTCTAAGGTGCCAAAGGACTCCTCTCTGGTTTTGCAGATACAGACTAACACGGCTATCCTTCTGAGATTTTTTTTTTTTTTTACTACTAATACTACAAAAAAAAAATGTAACTCACCATCCATGAATTCTGTACATAGTGAAATTCTGTTTTCTACAAAAAAAGCGCCATAGAATCCTATGATATAAGATGAGTCACACTGTAAAAAGAAGAAAGCAAGCTATTCAAAAAAGCCCTTTGCATAAAGACTACAGACAAACGTAATTAAAAGTGCTATAAAAAGAATACCTTATAAAGGATTTCTAATTCCGACATAATCTGCTTCTGGAGCTCCAGTGTAATATCTAAAGGTATGAGCTGAAAATAGAAACATTAGAATCATTATCTGTTCTGAAATAAAATACAAGCAAATGATATAGAATTCAGATCATCAGCATATATTGATAGTGTGTCTGTGAGAGAGACTGTGAGAGCCAGAAATGGCAGAGAAAAGGAAAAGGGAATCCAAAGGACAAAATTACTTTTAAACGTTAGTCACAAGCTAAACTTCTACACTGGCCACACAAGTACCCGAAGGAGTCGGCGGAATACTTTACTCCAACAGCTCTAGGCATGACTACCTAACACTTTGAATTTACAAAGGCATCTTTCACTCCAGAATACCATCTTTCACTCCAGCACTTTATCATATATCCGAACACATCTACAAATGTACTATCCTCATTTTCAGACAGGGCTGTCGCAGCACAGAAAAACAATGTAAATCACATCTGTGGTAGATGCATAACAGAACTTGAATCAACCGATGTTAGGGTTGCCACCTCTGACTGAAGCTGTTCCGGGAGAGGTTCTCCCCACATGATGTAATGTCATTTGCAGATTGGTTTCAACAGTCACCGGCAGTTAAGTGCCAATTCTAGGAGATGGCTGGCCAATCCTGTAGGATTGGCAACCCTAGAAGATTTCCAGTCATGGGATGAGCACTTGTCAATTGTGGCTGGCAATAAAACACATACAATTCTAGGACCCTGAGAAACTTTTCAGAAAGCAGCCGTGATACTTTTCACATTTTAAGCAAGTGCTGCAGCATTTGAACGAATTCTCCCGTGCAAGTCAGTGCAGACACCACTGTAACAGCATGTGCGTCAAGTATTTTGAATAGTGGCTTATGTCAGGGGCCATGCATGTGTCATAGGATCACAGAACAGGAAGGGACCTCAAGAGGTCATGGAGTCCAGTATCCTGTGACTTCTTTGTACCAAAGCATCAGAATACAAGCGTGTGTCAATATGGATCCCTCTGTACAGACCTGCAGTGTCCCTTCTGGACAGTGCAAAGAAGGAGCACCACCTGCATTAGTCAGCTAGTGAATGACGTACAGCATTCTCGAATCTGGCATCAGAACTAATCGCCACGACAAGGGTGCAAAGTTTGACACATGTCCGTGATTTACTCTACATGTCTCAGGCACTGGTATGTTTCTAAAGCCGGCCTTGCAGGTGGCTAATGGAACATGCCCTGATGTCTGGAGGAAGAGGTTCATCAGCTAACTGATCCACTCCACTAAGGAGTTGATTTCTTTTCAGCCCCCTGGATACAGCCAGAAAAACAGGAGGAAAAAGATGAAATGATTGGGTCTTGTGGTAACAGAGCAAGGCTCTGGAAATGTCCACGGTAGCTTCTTCTCTTCCAGCACTGAATGTGACTTCAGGAAGAAAATGTGTGGGTTAATTGACTGCTTCAGGTGAAACGTCAAGACAAGTTTTAGGGATGAATTCAATTTGTGGCCCTAGGACCATCTTCTCCCACTCCCCCCACCCCTTGCTGCCTCTGAAACAAAGGCAGCAAGGGGGAGGGGAAATGAGTATAGTTGACAAGATTAACCGATAAGCCTAGGTTTATCAGTTAATCGTATATCTAGTCTACACGATGACACCCCTACTGAAAGGCATAACCATTTACGTCTCATGTGGGTCCAGACAGGTTGCAGATTTGCCACACTATTTACTATTTTGTAACTTTTGTCATTTTTGGAGAAATAAGTAGCCTTCTACACCATTGGTTCAAAGATTAGAATATTTGTTATGTAACATTAATAAGTCAGTTATACGGGTTGTTCCTTTATTTGCCTCAGCAGTGGTAAAAAACAAGGAAAGAATTGTGGAAAGTTAATTTTCTTTGTGGCCTAAACAGGTCAACGTATACCCAGCATTTGTAATTTCATTTTGTTTATTATTTTATGCTGTGTTTTAAATACATCTTTAAATTTAGGAGAAGAGTTGAACCTGTTTTTTTTCCTTTTGTAATGTGATTATTTAAATATTAATTTAAATATTTGTATTAATTTTCTTGAGTGTGATGGTTAATTATTAAGACATTACACTAATACATTTGAAATTGATTGACATTAAATGCACGGTCTTATCTGTAGTCTTACTTTCCCCATCCATATGCCATTTTAGAGTTACAACTATATAGGGAAAAAGCAGTACTTTTGCAGAATTAACAGAAAATAAATTATGTGTTGTATAAACTGCTGATGAAACAAAATAAAGAGAGAGACCATTTCTAAACATACATTTTATAGTATTGATGCCCATCTAAAAGAGAAAAGCATAACTAGTTTCTATCAAGAGTTTGCTTTAGGGTTGTTTATAAAAGCTCTCACTAAACTAAATTGTAACTGTAATATAAGGCTGCCAACAAACATTTAACACACTTCTCCAGATCAATAGTCATTTGCCAGCAATATTCACTTACATTTTTCAGTCTGAAAAACTTAAAATACTTTGCTGGAACACTATACCAGTTTTACCCATTAGCATATTAATGTAGTTTAATAAAAGACTGTCTTTTATTAAATACCACTAACAATAAAAAGTCTCCCTGTTCTCTTCACTGGTCTAAACACTGACTAGTTAGCATGGCTGGTGTCAAATACAGCACCTTTACCCAAAACCTGGCATGAAGAGAGGTCTTCCCTTGTTTTGAATTAAACTATAATTACATACAGACTCGCATCCTAATGTTAATGACGACCTGCAAAGGAGTTGTCCTACAACTTCTGAATGTGCTTCATCCCCATGTACTCCAAATAAATGCAAGATGGATGGGGAACATACAGAAAAACATTACAAAGTCACAGGACAGCTCTGATGCGAGAGCCCAGAATGCATCACCAGGAAACCCCAAATTAGGCAACTAATACATAGGGGCCCAAGAAAAATGGTGCGTTTTCCACATTATTAGAGAAGCCATCCCTAACTGTATCTAGACACGTATAACTGGCTCTATTGACCAGCAGGATTCAATTGTGTCTGAGTTGCAGCTGTTGAAATGATTTTAGAAAATCTGAGACATATGTTTAATCGTAACGTATCAGCTGATTAACTCCATACTCTTTTGGCCCAGTTACAGTGCTGAAAATCCTAAAGTGAAAAAAAAAAATCGGCATAACCTACCCTAAATCTAAACATGCTTTCTGTCTGTGCTCATGCCCCTCTGTGTGCAGTGTTATTTGGGGGTTTTTTTGCTAACAATGGGGTTTTGCTTCCAGATAGTCAATTTTAAGATGCAAGAGGTCTATGTGGGATGGGACAGTGCTTTACAAACCACGAGGACATAATTCCCCAAGCCCATTGCCACTGACACACAGGCAATAAATAAGGACCTGGCAGCACCCTTCGCAAGTGGAATGAACATGTCTTGAATGTACTGAAAGAAAACAAAATTTAAACTCTGCCCACAGACAATAAACCTTGTAGCACCTCTGAAAGGACCTGTGTGGCATCGAAAGGAAAACTGGAATCTGGCTCCTGAACATATTGAAAGTAGAAAGAGAATTTAAATTCAAAGTATAAAATTAACTTGCAATGAATTTACTCAGCACATGCAGGAGCAGAATGGTTTAACTGATTTCAAGGAAACAGTTTGCTAATTAATCCTTAACACATAAGCAGGCTGGCCATTTCCTGGGAGAAAACCAGTTTAGGACAGATCACTGGTAAATATCAGCTTAAACCTGATTTAACCCGGGAAACTGGGTAAAATAACTGCATCAGCATCTAGCGAGTTCATCAAGCACAGAAAGAATCTTTTCAACTTTTGGATAAACCCTTTCAAAACTGAGGAGTCAGCTCAGTCTTTCCACTACTACACCACATGGCTGTCTGCTGCAGAACGCTGCATGGTCAAACAGACTTGGACTGGTATCTGCAACCGTATGCTTCTGACTGCTTAGTGCTTCAAGCATACTACTCTCTATTATTGCCATTTTCATATAGCCACATGTTTTTGACACTTTTTATGTACATAATATTGAAAACGAGACATGAGACGTATATCTTTTTCCGAAAATATCAAATCTATACAAACATTCTGATGTTCCGTATTATAATTACATACATTAACATTATGCCCACTGCAGTTTTACTTTTTATTCATACAACCCTAAATTAATCTATGAATTTACTGTCATATGTAGCCAGCAGTGAATGAGTAACTACGCGTAATGTAGTATGCCTTAACAAAACAGCTTTTAAAACAGAAAATACCTAAAACTGGGAATAACTAATTTTTCCTGGGCAAGAAATGCTGTCCCCCGCCATGATTTAACATTATGCCACTACTAACAAAAGGGGAAAAACAGAGCTGCCAATTGCAACTATCAACATCTTAGAAAAGCCAGAGCTGAGATGGAAGATCAGAAGTGTTTGACCCAAGTATGGCTCTCTCAAAATTAGCAGAGATGATAATCCAAAAGTGGAGCTACAGAGGAGAGTTCTGGGAATGGGGCATGATCATGCATTGTTATTTAATGACATTCCTATGGTGTTTAATTGAGGAGTAACTCAGCACTTCATAAGTATTAATAAATTCTGCCTCATGCCACTCCATAGTAGGAAAGTAGCAGTAGTCCCATTTTACAGATGGGAAATGGAGGCACAGAAGGGATCTCTGAACACACACGAAGGGAAAGGAACCGGACCAGGAAACAAACAGGTACAGGGAGCAATAAGCAAGATGGTGACACGACACCTCCTCCCCCCTCCCCAAACTCCTTACCCTACCTGAAGCCTTTCTACACTTCAGTCTTAGGATATGTCTACACTACAGCGTTATTTTGAAATAACACGTCTACACACAAAATGCATTTCGAAATAGCTTTTTGCTAGTTCAAAATAGCGAGTCCACACTGATTGGATGCTGAATCACATTTAAGGACAGCAGAAACTGGTTCTGGCAGGGCATCAGGTCAGAAGTTACCTTGTGGCCGGGGCGGCCAGCAGGGCACTCTGGGAAGGGCTGGAGGCCCCCTATTTCGAAATAAGCGTCTACACAGCGCTTATTTTGAAATAGCAATTTCGAAATTGGCACTATTCCTCGTGCAATGAGGTTTACCAATTTCGAAATAACTCCTCCGCTATTTCGAATTAATTTGGAAATAGCAGTTGGCTTGTGTAGCTGTTAGGAAAGTTATTTCAAAATAACTTTGCTGTGTAGACATACCCTTACAGCTTCGCAGCCTAAGCCAGCTGACATGGGCCAGCCACAGGTGCTTAACTGCAGTGTAAACACACCCTAAGTGAGTTACCTAAGGTGACGCGGCTACTCTGTATAATATTTGTGTTGAACCCAGAACGCTTGTCTATCAGTCTTTGACCCTGTACGCTCGTTCTCTCTGGATGGAATGATGGAATGCCACAATGACATGAGTGTTAAGAATATCAACTCCCCTGTTTAAAATAAAACAAATATATAAACAAGCTAAGCAGCCTAAAACAGATGAGAGTTTGAATACTTAACATTTCAAATGGAAAGGGTTAAATCTAGAAGAGAAATACCTGGGCACGTTTCCTCTGCTCTCCACTACACCTCCAGGACAAATAAGGATGAGTTGTCAAGTTAAATACAAGCAGTCAAGTGACTGAATTATAATTTACTCTGTGCTCAATTTAAATTAGTGTGAGGCTATTAAAATATCCAGTATAAATACGGCAATTCATCACAAGCTGTCATGGATGACTTCATCTATTTGCTGGAGTGGCATACGTTCCACTAAAGGGAACGAGAGCAAAATCACAGGTCAAATTAAGCTGCTATTCTGTTTTAATTCACTTATTTAATCTGTGGCGACATAATTGTCTTTTACAGTATGTACAACTCAAAGGAAATTTGGGAGTATTATAGTCAGTATACAAATGATTAATCAAATGGTCCATTTAAATGCTAGTTTAAGAACAGCAAAAACTAAAGCAGCTGAGGAATGGCAGTCAGCCACGGTACACACAATGCTGGGATTTTTCATCCTCTCAGATAGCTGTCCCCACCCCATTAGAAAATAAATAATATTAAGAAAACTATTAAATCCTGCATGCATTATCGAATAGAAAAGTTTATAGGAAAGACTCTAATGGTGTAGGTTTCAATCTGCAACATGTAAAATCAGATTTTTTTTCCTGCTCAATCTACTTGCAATTTTCAAGTCTAGTCACCAATACAAAGCAGCTAATCAACACAACAGGTTCTACAAGTATTCACCTGGATTGTGAAACTATTGTGTCATATTTACATTTGATAGAAATACACACATATAAGACTGACTTTACTCCTTTGAAGCCCCTTCCTTTAGCAGAGATCCCAGTGGCCTCTCTTTTTTTTGTCAGCTTTACACTAATCAATCCTCGCAACATTCCTACTGAGACAAAGGTTTCAATACCCTCACTTTTTTTTCATGGGGAAACTGAATCAGAGATTAAGTGACTTGCTTGAAGTGGCAGAGCAAATTATTGGCCAAACAAGGACAGAGAAGCAGGTTTCCTGATTGCTACTTTTGGGACCACGATGTTATAAACACATGACAATATGCATGTCCCAAAATATAGTTTTTGAAATGACATGTACATTTTAATTAATATTAATATGGACAATCAATGTAGGAACATTGAGAAATGAAAATCCAGGCTAACAAACTCACAAGGTACTAACTAACCCTTGGGGACTGGTCAAATCCTTATGGCTTGAGGGATACACTCTGTCTGAAGGAACAGGTGTTCTTGCAAATGAAAGATGGTGGATGAGGATCAGTCTCTCTTGCAATAGTTAATCCTGACAAGCCCCTCCCTTCTCCTCCAATGTCCTGCAGCCAATTGCTGTTTGTACCCATAGTGGGTTGGTGGCAACATGCTTAAGGAGAACAACTTTGTGCCAGGGTTGAGGTGGAGGAAGGGTCGCCGCAGGGGGAGCAGCAACTTGCAAAATATCAGGACTCCCATCCAGTAAAAGACGGGGGCAGGGTTTAACAGCCAAAAACGTTCGCCTTTAGAAAAGAAATCCTCTTGGGAAAGAACATTTTCAGACCCACTTCCCCCTCCCCCGCCCCCAAAATATTTCCTGGAAAAATTCTTGTTCAGAATTACGGATACAAAATGACCCTTGGTTGGTTTATTGTGACGATGGCGAATTCCTGTGTTTTCCCACTTCATGGTCGTCGATAAAGCAATAATAAACGGTCATCATAAACACAATATTTGAAAAAAGGACATGCTGGGGGGGGGCGGGTGTGCACAACATTTGTTTCGTTCATTTCCTCCTTCGATCAGAAAGTCATTCAGAAACACTTCCCGTATGCAGAGACAGCTGAGAAAGGGAATCAGGTTTCCTGCAGTCCAGGAGCCTGAAGTTGATGGTGGCAGCAGCCCCAGTACTGGGGCCAGGATCCCACTTAGTTAGTTAACCCAGTGGTTCCCAATCTTTTCTATGCCTTGGACCAGCAAATCCATTCACAAACATTTGGTGCACCAGTAATATTTTACTTGCATATCTGCATATTCATTGTGCAAATAGTGAATATTCAAATACAGTATGCAAATAAAATGTTACAAGTATGCCAAAAGTTTGTGAATGGGTTTGCTGGTCCTCGGTATAAAAAGCCTGGGTCCCCAGAACCACCCACTCCTCCACTACCCCCCAATGCCAGCCACTGATC